TTGCTGAGCTGATCCCTAAACCCTAAACCTAAACCCTAAACCCTAAACCCTAAACCCTAAACCCTAAACCCTAAACCCTAAACCCTAATCTATGGGCCATAGACCCTTGAAGTCCAATGGCCTCTGTAGCACGCTATTTGGTCAAAAGTACGTTTAAGGCGGCGTAGCTTCATGCCTAATATAGGGGCCTCAAGACATAGAATAGGGTTTGGGGGTATATTATACTATCATTATAATAAGGATCCCCCAAAAACCCTATTCTAATTGTTTGGCCCAGGATGGCAAGTACGACGTGGAAGGCCGGGGCAAGTGCGGTTCGGTGTGCGTAGGCTTTTTTTGTTACGTTTTGGCACATACCTGTTTCGGGTGATATTGCATGTGGGCCTCTAATCTTCAAAGGTTCAGGTCTGTAGGTTGAAGTGTTTAGGGCTTGCTTGCTGCCTGTTTTGGGAGCCCCTTCAACCCTGAACCCCAAGACCTCGCGCACAGGGATGCAGCTGGGCTGTGCCTGTTCCGAATTTGGCACCATCGAGCCAGCGAATCGCTGCGGGATTGAATCCTTCCTCTGAAACCCCGTTGCTAAGATCAGCTCAGGGATTCGTGGTAATTCATGATTAGGGAAATCAATAGCTCCGATTGATCGAGGGGATACACGGCTACAGACTTACCTGAAACAGCCTTCTTTGATGAACAGTGGCAACTGCAATATCAGAACTTAAACCAAAAGCCTAAACTCTAAGCGCTCAGTATCAACCCTTGTCGTCGTCGTTGTCGCTTGGTGTTGTACAGGCTGGGCACCGCCTTCCAGCTAGATGAAATTGAGCACCAAGAGCCTAAGGCCCCAAAACCCTCCCAAACTCTAAACCCTACAGCCGTAAGCCCGAAACCTCAACACCCCAACAAGCTGCCGCTCTGCAAAAAGGCCAGGCAGAATGGAAGGGCAAGCACCAGGCAGTCGGGTCTGTCCTCAAGCTTCAGGTTTGTTGGGCCTTGGGCATTTTGGGGTTTGGCAGGCGTTTATTGCAGCCTCTGGGACTTTGTAGGATTACTTGGGGCTTAGGGCGGGTTGTATAGGGTTGGAGGTCAGACTTTATGGGGCTTTGCGGTGGTTTATATTGTTTCGTTGTTTTGTTTGGGGGCGGGGAGGGTCAGGGATGTTGGAGCTTTGGGGCTTCAAGGCTAGGGGATTCAGGGCTTCATGGCGCTATATAGGGAAGTAGTGTGTCAGGGCTTGTAGGACCTCATACAACAAACACCGTGCATGCATGCAGGTTGATGGCTCCAGGAGGTTTAGTGTTGGCAAGCTTGGGGTCGAGGCATGCAGGGCCCTAGGTTTCAGGGGTTTGGGTTTTGTGGGTACGAGAATGTATGCCGCTGATTAAGAGACTCCCTTTCTTTGTTGATTTCTGGACTGTAAACTTAGGGTCTAAAGGGGACGGGGTATGTGAATCAGGAATCTACATTCACCCATATTAACCCTATAACCAAATGCTCAAGAACCTAAACCTTAAAGCCGAAACCCTTCAAAACCCTCAACCCTCGCAAATCTGAACCGTAAAGCCGAAACCCTCCTAAACCCTCAAACCCTGACAAATCGCTCTCTTGGTTGACAAAAGCTTTCTGAGAGGTCGCCAAGGGCCTCACTCTCGACGCCGACATCAAGGCTCCTGGGGTTACCGTAGCCCCGAGTACGGTACCCGACCTTTTCAAGGAGTGTTTAGGGGTTTAGGGTTTAGGGTTTAGGGTTTAGGGGTTTAGGGTTTAGGGTTTAGGGGTTTAGGGATTTATGTAGGGAACGTCAGGAACCAAAAGACGAGTTCAGGTGGCATGTCGAGTTCAGGGCTTATCCTGCCTGCAGTGTTTGGGTTTAGGGGCCTTTGTGGGAGTTTTCCCTCGGAGACTCTGCTTGGCATTGTAGGGGCAATGAGTAAACAGTAATACATTGCAACAGTATCGCCCGAAACGCCTGTTGGTCTGTTCTAGTAATGATCCATTTACGCCAAAAGCATATTCCCATAGTTCAGGCCCCTGCATTAACGGATTTGTGCTCTGATGGCTTTTTGCCTCGGCACTTTCAGGGTATAACCCGAATGTAAAGTTTATATCGATCCTACAAAGAAGTACTTGGAGGATCATGGGACTTAGTAAGTAAAATTATAAGTCCCTTAATTGGGGTTATAAGTAAATACAAGTACAGTTACCGTAACTATATAACCCTACTTACTAAGTCCCATGATCCTCCAAGTATGGTTAGGCCCTAAACCTAAACCCAAAGCCCTAAGCCCTAAACCCTAAACCCTAAACCCTAAACCCTAAACCCTAAACCCAAACGGTAGCCCTTGAACCCTTCATCCTGAAGGCCTCAGCCA